TGCTATTGTTTTGTTGTATTTTAGGTTATTGAATAATGAAGGCTCTCTATTGGCATATTCTGGATATGGAGACACTGATGCAAGAGTCACTGCAGCCATAGCCAGCAACATCTGGGCGGCTTACGACAAAAACGGACACCAGGCCTTTAATGAGGACAAACTGAAATTCATTCTGATGGATTGTATGGTAGGATTGAAATTGAACAGTTGGGTTATAGTAAATGATTGTGAATGCTGATCTTTGACATATGCAATAACATGCATTATACAAGATATGCACAAATTCAGCACAGCAGATGCTATAGGCCGTGTCTGGATTTACCAAACATATGTGCTTTTTTGGAATTGCACCATGCCAGAAATAATACTAACATGATGAACTATTGTATTGTTCTACAATAGTTTTCTTTACAATGTGCTGCATATTACAGGAGGGCAGGGTGGCCATTACACGTGTTGCAAACTTGTTGCTTTGCATGTATGCCAAGGAGACAGTAGGCTTTGGGATGCTTAAAGCCAAGGTGAGATTTGGTGTGTATATATAATAACTCTTATTTACTAAGAAACAAATTCACATGGCATGTATTTTCATGAGCAATCAAAGTAACTGTGTTTGTTATGTTCACAGGCTGAAGCTTTAGTGCAGTACCTTGAGGAACCACTAACACAAGTGGCAGCGTCGTAGGATGTACTTCTGTGTATTTGTGTACATTGAAACAGAAACTTCTGAAGATCTTGGCCTTTATAATATATTATCTATGGCTTTATTTATTTGCATACTCTATATGATTGCTATATCAAACTGTGTGGCTATTAGACCCAAAATAATGCTTTGCATGAATCATTAATAATTACATTTGAACTGCATTTTCCCTTTTCTTTGTTTATGTCTCAGTATTTTTGCAGTCAGTGTCAACAATATGAAATACATTTTGAATAATTTTTTGTTACATGTTGTTATTTTACCTTTAAAACAAGAAATTGTTGCTTTTTATTAATTATGTGTGGAATAATATTCGTTGAACCAATAATATACAAAGTAAGGAATATTTTATACGCATTTCATTCATCTGAAAATTGTGTGTCATAATGAAATATCACTTTGTCTTAGTTTGGGGTTTCTGCATTTCTTAAAAAGGCCTTAGAGTCACACTTTTACAAATTGAAAAAGCTGTAAAAGTTCTTAAATCAGAGCACTAAATCTTGAATTCATAAACTCTTGGCATTAAATCTGCAAAAATATCTTCCTTTTGTGTTTTTGTCTTGTTTTTCAGTACAAATATCTAAGCATCCTTAAATCGAGGTACATTTACTTGAGATGCAAAAAGATATGAAGTCTCTTTTTCTGAGAAATTGAACAAAATTAATTGAGGTTATACTTAAAACAAGAACAAATATGTGTCAATGGGGTATGAAAACATTTTTGGGCCAGATATTTGTTCAAATTTAATCATAAACTCACTTCATTTTGGTCAGTTTCTCATAAAACAAGACTTCTTATATTGTCATTTTGCTTCTAAAGCAAGATTTAGGAATCTTTAAACATTTGTACTTTAAAATAAGACAAAAATTCTGATGGAAGAATGTCACTTTTTTTGTAGCTTTTTTTTTTTGTAGTTATTTCCATATTCTAGTGGTTGGGAGCAAAGGTATTCAAGCCATAAGCTTGAATAATTAATTCAAAAGTAATGGAGATCGATTGGAAGTTGTATCTTCAAGACATTTACATTTATAGACCATACTGATGTTTTGTGTTCCATTCAAATTATTCCTTATATTCTGTTTTCTTGGTCTTAAAAAGCATAAAATGTATCTTCATAAAACCTGCAGAAACTCTCTATAATATTTGTGTTCAAGCAGTAATTAACCATGTAATCCATGACATGCCTTACTGATCTTAGGAGAAACTGCTTCAAAAGAGCGATTGGTTGCATATGGTGTGTATGTCATCATTTCATTGGCTGAACAGGTGCACTATTGCACCCAGTTTCATTTGACTGCACCTGCTCTCGCCCTACCTGTTTGACCTGACTTGAGCGCACCTAAAGTCACGCCCACTTCCCCCAGGTAAGGCACATTTGATAGTGGAACTGCCAGGCTAAATAACAAGGCTAGTTCCTTGTACAAACAACTGAACTGTCCACCATTAACGGTGGCGTTTCATTTATATTCCTTACTGTTTTTCTGCTATTTCAGGTCAGCCACTGCATAGAGAGGGGGAACTTACATTCTTAGGTTTCCTTGGAATTGGTTGGGATTTTGACTCATGCAGCACTAGCACTAACATCGATTAGTGAAGGAAAATCTGCTTACAGGAGAGACAAATAAGCTTCTATAATATGCTTAAACCTTGTATGATTCTTGTTTTCTAATACTATTTTCCCTTTTTTATGTGCATAATTGCCCCCTCTCCTGACATAATATGATAAATTAACTCCAATCCCAGAAATGTCATAATAATCCTATACATGGGTGGAGTGTTGATTTTACTTTTGACATGTTTGAGTCATTCTGAGTTTTCATAAGGAGTGCTATACTGGGACTTACTGTTCATCCAGTGTTGGTTTGTTTTGAAAGAAGGATATGATGATTATATCTGCTTCTGTCTCAAGTTTTAATGAACAACAAGCCTGGACAATTTCATAATAAGGATGCAGATTTGTGACTGTACAGTACATTTTGCCTCTTAATGTTGCACTTGTTATTGAAGAGTTACTTGCCACAAAAGTCCAAGACAACAAATTACATCACGAGTTTGTGAGTGGCTGGCCTTTTAATCCACAACTAATCGTTGACTTTACACAAGTGAATGTTGCTTAATACACCACGCAGAGGTGTTGGTAGTTGGTAGCTTAATACACCAAGCTTTTCCAGCCAATGGATCCTCTTCAGTGAATGGGTGCCGTCAGAATGAGAGTCCAAACAGCTGATAAAAACATCACAATAATCCACAAGCAATCCAAACGACTCCAGTCCATCAATTAATGTCTTGTGAAGTGAAAAGTTGCATGTTTGTAATAAACTCATCACTATAACTAATCATGTTTTAACTTCAAACAGCTGCTTCTGGCTAAAATATGAGTCCATAATATTGCTTAATATATAAGCAATATAAAATAATAATAACTTGACCCTCTAACATATGCTGCGTTACACTACCCGGGACTTGTCACAGCACTTATATTGTTGCTCTTTTGTTGGTTTGAATGCTGTTCGCTTTGGAAAAAAAGCGTCTGCTAAATGATTAAATGTAAATGTAAAACACCTTGATGGATTTGTTTCTTATAAACAATCCACTTTTCACTTCATAAGATGACAACTGCAGAGGATCCATTGGTGAGCAAGTGATGTGATGCTAAATTTCTCCAAATCGGTTCCCATGAAGAAACAAACTCATCTACATCTTGGATGGCCTGAAGGTGATACATTTTCAGCAAATGTTCATTTTGGGGTCAGATATTCCTTTAATACTTCTTATAAGCTTCTATAATATGCTTAAACCTTGTATGATTCTTGTTTTCTAATACTATTTTCCCTTTTTTATGTGCATAATTGCCCCCTCTCCTGACATAATATGATAAATTAACTCCAATCCCAGAAATGTCATAATAATCCTATACATGGGTGGAGTGTTGATTTTACTTTTGACATGTTTGAGTCATTTTGAGTTTTCATAAGGAGTGCTATACTGGGACTTACTGTTCATCCAGTGTTGGTTTGTTTTGAAAGAAGGATATGATGATTATATCTGCTTCTGTCTCAAGTTTTAATGAACAACAAGCCTGGACAATTTCATAATAAGTACATAATAAGTAATACAGTACATTTTGCCTCTTAATGTTGCACTTGTTATTGAAGAGTTACTTGCCACAAAAGTCCAAGACAACAAATTACATCACGAGTTTGCGAGTGGCTGGCCTTTTAATCCACAACTAATCGTTGACTTTACACAAGTGAATGTTGCTTAATACACCACGCAGAGGTGTTGGTAGTTGGTAGCTTAATACGCCAAGCTTTTCCAGACTCATACGCACCTCCATGTTTTCTTGCAGTGGTTCTTATTGGAGAATCTGGCGTTGGCAAGAGCAAATGTTTTAACTTCAAACAGCTGCTTCTGGCTAAAATATGAGTCCATAATATTGCTTAATATATAAGCAATATAAAATAATAATAACTTGACCCTCTAACATATGCTGCGTTACACTACCCGGGACTTGTCACAGCACTTATATTGTTGCTCTTTTGTTGGTTTGAATGCTGTTCGCTTTGGATAAAAGCGTCTGCTAAATGATTAAATGTAAATGTAAAACACCTTGATGGATTTGTTTCTTATAAACAATCCACTTTTCACTTCATAAGATGACAACTGCAGAGGATCCATTGGTGAGCAAGTGATGTGATGCTAAATTTCTCCAAATCGGTTCCCATGAAGAAACAAACTCATCTACATCTTGGATGGCCTGAAGGTGATACATTTTCAGCAAATGTTCATTTTGGGGTCAGATATTCCTTTAATACTTCTTATAAGCTTCTATAATATGCTTAAACCTTGTATGATTCTTGTTTTCTAATACTATTTTCCCTTTTTTATGTGCATAATTGCCCCCTCTCCTGACATAATATGATAAATTAACTCCAATCCCAGAAATGTCATAATAATCCTATACATGGGTGGAGTGTTGATTTTACTTTTGACATGTTTGAGTCATTTTGAGTTTTCATAAGGAGTGCTATACTGGGACTTACTGTTCATCCAGTGTTGGTTTGTTTTGAAAGAAGGATATGATGATTATATCTGCTTCTGTCTCAAGTTTTAATGAACAACAAGCCTGGACAATTTCATAATAAGGATGCAGATTTGTGACTGTACAGTACATTTTGCCTCTTAATGTTGCACTTGTTATTGAAGAGTTACTTGCCACAAAAGTCCAAGACAACAAATTACATCACGAGTTTGTGAGTGGCTGGCCTTTTAATCCACAACTAATCGTTGATTTTACACAAGTGAATGTTGTTTAATACACCACGCAGAGGTGTTGGTAGTTGGTAGCTTAATACACCAAGCTTTTCCAGACTCATACGCACCTCCATGTTTTCTTGCAGTGGTTCTTATTGGAGAATCTGGCGTTGGCAAGAGCAACTTGCTGTCACGGTTCACCAAGAATGAGTTTAATCATGACAGCCGGACGACCATCGGAGTGGAGTTCAGCACAAGAACTGTGCAGCTAAACGGTCTCACCATCAAAGCTCAGATCTGGGACACTGCCGGACTGGAGCGGTACCGGGCCATCACTTCTGCGTGAGTTTAACATGGTATAATAAATGGTGGTGCTAAACAAGTAAACATGCCCATAGTTCCCCAAAAATGACAATTATGTCAATTACTCAGTATCATGTTGCTGTTGTTGTTTTCTTCTTCTTCTGTGGAACATAAAACACTTTTTCATAAAAGGGAATGGTGACCATAAATTCATTTAAAAAAAACTTTGATTTATTTTACTGTAGTTAATTATTTTTATTTCTTACTTACATTATACACTACTGTTGGGGTAGGTGTGATTTTCTTAATGTTTTTGAAAAAAGTCTATTCTGCTCACTATTCTGCTGCATTTATTTAATTAAAAATACAGTAAAAGAAAACACAGTGATATTGTGAAATATTATTGCAAATTAAAATAACTGTTTTCTATTTGAATATATTTTCAAATGTAATTTATTCCTGTAATATATTTTAAAATGTAAATCCTGTAATATATTTTAAAATGTAATTTATTTAATTTATTTCAGCATAGCTGAATTTTCAGCATCATTACTCCAGTCTTCAGTGTCACATGATCCGTCAGAAATCATTCTAATATGCTGATTTGCTGCTCAAGAAACATTTCTTATTATTATCATGAATGAAACCGGTGTACAATTCGTCCAATATTTTTTACTGAATAGAATGTTCAAAAATACAACATTTAGAAATGTTTTGTAACAATGTGAATGTCTTTACAATCACCTTTGATCCATTTAACGCAAAAATATGAATTTATTTAAAAAAAAAATAATAATAAATCATGGTCACCATCCACTTCCATTGATGGGGACAGAGCAGTCTGGTGAGGAGATGATGACATTTATTTTAATTGAACTAAATTTGACAGAATAATAGAATTTGAGGTGAACTGTCCGTTTAAGTAGTTCGCTCATACTCTGAATATGTTTGTATGCAAATACATTATTAACTGCATATAAATTGCCATTCATCTATTCTTTAGCAAATTTAGAAAAATATAACACATCATGTTTCACCACCCATTGCTATACAATTCGTTTCTCACCTGTTGTTCTTCTAAACCGTCTTCATTATGTGATCTTGCTTATGACCATGTTTTATGACAGTGTTCTGCTCACTCAAAAAAGGATGTTAATTCAGTCATCTGATCTGATCTGATCTGTTTTCCTGTATCTCAGTTATTATCGAGGAGCGGTTGGAGCTCTACTAGTCTATGACATTTCAAAGCACTTGACGTATGAAAGTGTCGAGCGCTGGCTGAAGGAGCTCTACGATCACGCAGATCCTCATATCGTAGTGATGCTTGTGGGCAACAAAACGGACCTGTCAGCGGTACGATCTGTTCCAACAGCGGACGCAAAGGACTTTGCAGGTCATTACTGAAGACACCTTATTATATTATACCAGTTTACACAAAATTCACACAGAAACTCAAAGGTCTTCACGAGATCCCTTCGAAATGAAAGCTCCACCTAACTTGAAGAAATTACAACAAATATAATAATAATACAATTTATTAAAACACACAGAAACTCAAAGCTTTTCACTACAACCTGCCAAAATAAATGTTCTTTCTAACTTGGAGAAATTATGAAATTATGTATATTACTATTGCACAGTAGAATGTACTTCTTAAAGTAATAATAATAATTATAACATTTATTAAACATTTTTAAGGAATATTAAAATGCTTCATCCATGTTTTAATTAAAAATAGTTATTATTTTATTTATTAAAAATAAAATAAATTATTACATTTTTGTTTGACTACATTTGAAAAGATTACCTAAATTGTTAGTTTTATAAATCGATTTGATTACACATTTTTGATAGTAAATTTATGTTTTTTATATTCTGTGCACTCCTGACAGTAAAATAAGCCACTATACAGCCATATAAAGGGCCAGTAATGAAAAAATAAAGTCTTCACTCTAAAGAAAACCAGTAAAAATGTACTGTAAATCAGGCGCAATGTACTGAATAATATGAAGGAACTTTGAAGGTGTTTACCTGTATTTTGAATTTTGCACTGCATTGCATTGTGTTTTAGAGTTAACGGAAATGTAAATGAATGTAGTTTATATTTCTAGTCTATTATCCAGTCTAACCTATTTTTTTTAATTCAGTGAAAAGTGACGTGACATGTGGCCAAGTATGGTGACCATACTTGGAATTAGTGCTCTGCATTTATCCCATCCAAAGTGCACACACACAGCAGTGAACACACACACACACCGTGAACACACACCCGGAGCAGTGGGCAGCCATTTTTTTGCTGCAGCGCCCGGGGAGCAGTTGGGGGTTTGCTCAAGGGCACCTCAGTCGTGGTATTGAAGGTGGGAGAGAGCTACATACATTCCCTCCCCCCACCTACAATCCCTGCTGTACGAGACTCGAACCCGCAACCTTTGGGTTACGAGTCCGACTCTCTAACCATTAGGCCACGACTTCCCCATAATAAAAAAGAATGAAACCCCCACTGTAAGAAAAAAAAAATCTGTATAAAATGGATAATGTCCTAAAATCACCAGTTCATTTTCTGTTAAATTTACAGACATTTCATTAAACCCTCAAATCATAATTCAAATGATGGGTTAAACACCTGTAGAAAAAAAATTAGTACAGAAAGTTCCTTCATAGTACATTAGGTTGTATTTTTACGGACTTCTCTTAGAGAGTATATATTATATATCATTTAGCACAATACTGACTTTGTCAACCAAAATCAATCTTGATATTCATCATTCTTTTTTTATAGAAAATAATGAAACCTAATCTGTGGGGCAAAACGCCCCCAGGGGGCATTGCTGAATTACTGTTAGTTACTCTGTCCTGAACATCAAATCCTTTGTTTTCCCATCAAATGTATTCTAACTAGTTGGTTGGATTAAATTATATGGACTTTATATTTAAAAATTACCTCAAGTTAACATCAGGTAGCTAGTTAGCTAATTGTTAGCATTAGCTAACAATGCTATTATAATTTTGTAATTCATAATTATTTGATATTCTTTTTAAAGAATACTGCATGTACTCTGATTTAGCTGTAAATGTGTAAATCAAATTGCTTTGTCAGACTGGGGGGATTTTAAACCCCCTCTCCCCCAAACTGTGGGGCAACTTGGTTTATAATTTATGCCATTGTCACAAAAATTATGAGAACTCTTCTGGACACATTTAACTTTTGTTTCACAGAGAAAAATTACACAGCACCCCCCCTGTCAGTTGCTGCTGTTGACACAATAAAGAAATATACAGAGCATGTAATTTTCCAATAAGAATTAAAGCAGAACTATGTGTGAAAAATATCTGAATTGTTTTTTTTTTCACAATGAGTCTCAAGTGCAGTTTGCAAACAACAACAACAAAAAAAGGGAAATAAATCTGATTACACACAAAAGTTTGAAAATGCACACTGAATATTTATGAATCATCATCATTCAATAAACAGAATAATAAATATGACTTGGAATATTAATCGATATGACCAGTTTGAATTGGAACTGGCAATCATAAATGTTGAAATAATTATGATTATTTATATTAATTGTGAAATACACCACTATATATATAATTGGAACTTTATAAAAAGTCTCTTATGTTCACCAAGGCTGCATTTATTTGATGAAAAATACTGTAAAAATAGTAATATTGTGAAATATTATTACAATTCAAAAGAACTATATATATATATATAGTTTTTGTTTTTGAAAGAATATATAAATTACATTTCTACTGAAGTGGCATTTCATTTTCAAACACTGATGACTGACTAATAATCTCATATGTGTAATTCTGAATGGTGCACAGCCCTGCCTCCTCACTGCCTCCTACGTGGCATTTTCAGGTCCCATCATCCTCCGTGAAGCAGTGAGTGAAGTCACGCTGTTGAATGTGGAAGAGCTCACCTGAAATATACCCGTGGCCCCGTGCTTTTTTTAAAGCTATTTTTGTAATGTACCGATAGACCACCTCGTGTTTATTATACATTATAGTTTTATTCAAAGGCGTATATTGATTATATTTTAGTATCATTATACTGTGTTTATATTGCCTGACGACAACTATAAAAGACACACCTGTGACGTTACACACCTGTACGGAAGCCCCATCAAACATTTCATTGGGTCACAGAGGCACACTCGTGTGATAGACAGGTTAGTTGGCCAATAAGATCATCGGAAAGGCGGGGCTACATCTCAGCACAATGACGTAAGTGTTTGCCTTAAGATGAGACAGCAGGGCGAAACTTGGTTGACGTAGCCCGGCAACATCGTATCAAAGTTGATTAGCTGTAATGTTTAGCTTATTCGGAACCTGTTTCTCTTAACGGCTACTTTACATAGGCTATACCCGTCGACAGAAGGAAATAAATAGTATATTTAAATTTTTTTGATTCTGAGAGTCTTTAACGCATGAAACGCACGTAGTAATGAAGCGCAAGTGATCAACTGATGCGTCTCATAAACAAAGTTTCCTTGAAGAGCGCCTTGTGGTTCTCCAGAAGAGCATAACGTCTTTATATTTGAAAACACGGACTTGTTATTAAGCCTGTAAGAAGATTATAGCCATGACGGGTAGAGAGGACGAGTATGACTATCTCTTTAAAGGTGAGCACCACGTTCGTTTATGCACTTCAAGAGCAGCTGACTTTCAGAAGAGCTCCTGCATGTCGTCTTCATGTGTTGCTTTGTCATAGGATGTCTTCTTTTTCTATCCTAAAACACAGATTAGCATATCCAAGCTGTGATTTGCAAGCAGGTCCAAGTTGGTCAGTCGCTGGTAGACCACCTTGGACCAGCAAAAAACCAGCTGGTCACACTGGCTTTGGCTGGACAAGCTGGTTTTTAGGACATGGTGGCAGGCAAACCAGCTTATGATCATCTTAGAGCAGGTAGAACCAAGTGTCATGTTCCAAAACACAACTACCTTCTTACTATGGATTTTCCAACAGGGCAAATGCATAAAAGGCATAGAAATTATATATTTGAATAATTTCTAAGTGCCATTTTTTTGCTTGATTTTATAATACACAACATGATTGGCTTCTCCTAATATGTCTTGTTTTGTGTTGTAATTCTCATGTAGCTTTAATTGTCACCCCCTATTTTTGAACATAGGCTTGAAAGTGCACTATCCAAACTTAATAGTGTCAGCAATTTAAGCACAGTTAAACCGGTTATACCTGTATAAATCAGGTCCTTCTCAGGATGGGTTTGCATTCAGGAGGTTTTAAAAACTCTCCTTTGTTCTAATGAATCAAATCTCTTTTGCTTCAGAAGATCACTCGGATCATTCATTTGTCCTATTTTTGATATATAACCAATTATTCAAGATTGAAGGAGATCAAATGTAAAAGTTTGAGAATTTCCCTTAGTAATCGACTACTGAAGTGAATGCTAATGGTATTATTTTTTACTAATCTGACCTCTTTGATGTCTGCAGTGGTTATGTCCATGAATTTGACACTTCCATTAGTCAAAGTTCTGCCCTTGACCTCCATGTGTGTCTAAACTGTCCGTGCACCTTTCGCTGTTTGACCATGAATCAATCAGTGCTGTTCAATCACCGCTCTGCTCTTTAAACATGTCTGTCCACTAGCTTTAAAACAAGCAGTAGTCTCTAGTGCATTCCTGTGTGCCTAACTCCGATATTATTAGCTGAGACATCTGTTATGGATTTCGTTCTTGATTCATGTTGACGAGTTGGCAACATTAACCCAATTTATTTCAGGTTTACATTGAATACAATTTTTAAATTGTCATTATTTAATCACCTTCATGTTATGTTCCAAGTCTTCTTCTGAAGTCTCACAACATCTTTGTGTGATGAATAGACTGGAATTTGTCATTAACTAATAATCTTTCCCTCAACAAAAGCTTTGAAATCATATTCACTTTCACATTTAAAAAAATCGAAATATATGACATTTGATGTCCTTGAAGCATCTTTTATTATTTTACATGAAAGTGTTCCTCTTATCTCTTACAGTATGCCCACCTAGGCTGCACTGATTTCATAAAAAAAATAAAAAAAGATTAAAAACAATTCACACACTATTTTGTGAGATTTTTATGTTTTAAAGGGGTCATATGATGCGATTTCAATTTTTCCTTTCTCTTTGGAGTATTACAAGCTCTTGGTGCATAAAGAAGATCTGTAAAGTTGCAAAGACTAAAGTCTCAAATCCAAAGAGATATTCTTTATAAAAGTTAAGAGTTAACCACGCCTACCTAAAACGGCTCGTTCTAACACGCCCCCACATACCTACGTCACTATCTGG